GATGACCATGTGGTTCTTGTCTTTGAGCCCATTTATATGATTGATGACATTTATTGACTTACATATATTGAACCATCCCTGCATCTTTGAGATAAAGCCGACTTGATCATGGTGGATGATCTTTTTGATGTGTGTCTGTATGCAGTTTGCAAGTATTTTATTGAGAATTTTTGCATCTATGTTCATCAAGGATATGGGTCTATAGTTTTCTTTTTTGGTTGTATCTTTTCCTGGCTTGGTATTAGAGTGATGCTGGCTTCATAGAAGGAATTTGGAAGTTCTCCCTCCATTTCTATCTTTTTTAATCAATTAAGTAGTGTCCCGCCCTGCGGGGACAACAACAGGGTACCTGGATTGGGGAGTGGGGATTTGGATGGGGCAAGAGACAAGAGAAATGGAGACAAGACAGGGTTCTGATCAAGTCTCGTTTATTGCAGCTCAAGCATGAGGTTAAATAGAGAGTGAAAACAAAGGAGCAAAGATTGAGAGTAATCATATCAGCCAGAACACAGGGGCCCAGATGTACTCTAAGGGAGGAATCTACTGATTAACAGAAAACAGGGCAGTTTACTGGAAAAGAGCACAAGGCCTCGGGCTCTGTCCTGTGCCCGCAGGATGAGGGTGGGCAGAATGGAAAGTCATCAGCTCAGGTCTGTCAGCAGTTTTGAGAAATGGCTGAGCCTCAGGCTCCCAACAAAGTAGTATTGGATGTAGATCATCTTTAAATGTCTGATAGAATTCTGCTATAAATCCGTCTGGTCCTGGGCTTTTTTTAGTCGCGAGGTTTTGTATTAGTATTTTAATTTCTTTTCGTGTTATGTTGTATTACTGTTTCAATTTCTTTTTGTGATATGGGTCTGTTTAAGCTGTTTGTCTCTTCTTGGTTTAGTTTCGGTGGTTCCCATGCCTTTAGATATCTGCCCATTTTTTTTAGGTTTAGAAATTTAGTAGCATATAGGTTTTTAAAGTATTCCCTTATAATGTTCTGTATCTTTCTGGTGTCTGTTGTGATGTTTCCCCTTTCATCTCTGATTTTGTTGATATGGAGATGTTCTTTCTTTCTTTTGGTTAACTGGGCTAGTGGTCTGTCGATCTTGTTTACCTTTTCAATGAACCAGCCTCTCTCATTAGTAATTCAGATCCATTACTCTGTTCTGTCAGTTAAGATCTTTACATGCTGGGTTTGGGTTTCATTTATTGTTTCTTTTCAAGTGTCTTGTGTTGCAATGTTAAGTCATTTATTTGTGTTCTTTCTGATTTATTAATGTATGCACTAAGAGCTATAATCTTCCCTCTAAGGACAGCTTTCAGCATGCCCCAGAGGTTTTGTTGTGTTGTATTGCCCTTTTCATTTAGTTCCAGGATTACTTTTATTTCTTTCTTAATTTCTCTTTTGACCCATTTCATCATTCAGGAGTGTGTTGTTTAATCTCCATGTGTTCTTGTGGTGACTAGGGCTTCTGCTGTTGATTGTAAGCGTCATTGCATTGTGGTCTGGTAGAATGCATGGAATTACTTCAGTTTTTTTGTATTTGTTGAGGTTTATTTTGTGCCCCAGTATATGGTCAGTTTTGGAGAAGGTTCCATGGGGTACTGAGTAGAATGTATGTCCTTTGGTGCTTGGGTGGAATACTCAGTAGATGTCTGTTTGGTCCATTTGTTATATGGTATTGTTTAATTTAGATGTCTGTTAACTCTGCCCTGTTGACCTATCTAATGGAGACAGTGGGGTATTGAAGTCCCCTACTATTAATGAGTTAGGATTAATCTGGGTCTCAATGTCCTGTATTGTTTGTATGAAGTTGGGTGCACCAGAGTTTGGTGAATATATGTTCATGATTGTAATATCTTCTTGGTTTATTGTTCCTTTGATCAGAATGAAGTGGCCCTCTTTGCCTCTTCTGATTAGTTTTAGTTTAAAGTCTATTTTGTCAGATATTAGAATTACAGTGCCTGCTTTTTTCTTAGTACCATTTGCTTGGTATATATTTTTCCATCCTTTTACCTTAAGTAGTGTCTGTCCTTGAAAGTGAGATGAGTTTCTTGCAGTCAACAAAAAGATGGGTTTTGTTTCTTAATCCATTCACCTAGTCTGTCTTTTGACTGGGGAGTTCAGTCCGTTAATATTTAAAGGTATTAATGAAAGATGTGTATTGAATCCTGTTATTTTTATTTCTGTTTACATTGTAGATATAGCTGTGCATTTCCACAGTTATACCTTCATTCAATTTATTTCGGCAGCCCCTTGGGTATAGTCATTCCTTTCTCAGTTCTTTGTATTGCTTCCAGAACTCTCTGAAGGGCTGGTTTTATGGACATGAATTCCTTCAGTCTATTTATGTCATGGAAGATTTTTCTTTCCCCCTCGTCTATAATAGACATTTTGGCTATTTATAGTAATCTGGTCCAGGTTCTTCTGGTTTTCATAGTTTGCAGTGACAAGTCAGTTGTAATCCTAATGGGTTTTCCTTTATATATGACTTGTTTCTCTTTTGAAACTTTCAGTATTTTCTGTTTGTTCTGTACATTTAGTGTTTTTACTATGATATGCCGTGGAGAGTTTCTTTTTTTGTCCTGTCTATTTGGTGTTCTATATGCTTCTTGTATTTGTATGGTCCATGCCATTATCTTGGGATTCTTCTTCCTGTATGCCTGTGATTCATAAGTTTGGTCTTTTTATGGTGTCACAGAATTCCTGCATATTCCATTCTTGTGCTTTCTTAAATTTTTCATACTCTTTGATTGAGTGGTCTAGTTTGTTCACTTTATCTTCCAGTCTCAATATTGTGTTTTCCATTTCATTCTTCCTGTTGGTGAGGCTTCTTCTCTCGACACTCTGTCATTTCTAATTGGCTTACTGAGTGTTTCACTTCCTTCTTCATTTCCACCTGAGTAGTCTTCAGTATTTCTAGCTCTTTTCTGAATTCATTCAGAAGTTTATCCCTATCTTCCTTCAGTTCTTTGATTTCTCTTTTGTGTGTTCTTTAAATACACTGAATTCTTTTTATCATGTTTATAATTGTTCTTTTGAGTTCCATGTCCTGCATTATCTCCAGGGGGTTCTCATTGTGCTCCTTTAGAGCACTATTGGTATTTGGTGAGGATATGCTATTTTGGTTTTTCATGTTGTTATTTTTTCTCTGTGATTTTGACATGTGAATTTCTTTTGTAGTTTTTGATTCTTGTGTGAGACTCAAGCCTTCAAGTTTAGGTCTGCTTCTTTTTGTAAACTTTATGTGCCTTTGTAGTTTACTTTTTGGGCATGAAATGCTGATACATCTTAGCTTCCGGTTGTCTCTTTTGATTTTGTATTGGAGTGGCCAGATTGCTTTTGTCTTCAGTCTTCAGGAGTTTCCACAGAGGCCAAGTCAGATGAGGATCAGATGCTCTCAGGCTTTCTCCTAAGGTCTGGATCCCTCCAGGAAAAATTTTGGCCTCAGGAATTTGGGGGTTGGACTGGCCTGGGAGCAGAGCCCAGGAAAGGTGCTGGTCTTTCGTAGCTGGTGCCCGTGCCTCCCAGAGGTGCAGAGGGAGATGGGAGCGGGAAGAACCCCCAAGAGCTCCTAGGGACTGTACTGAGGAACTGGGTTGTTCCTGATGCAAAGGATAGGGAAGCTGAAAGGTATCCAGGAAAGAGGCTGGAGGGTTGTGCAGCCCAGGGAAGCAGAGGGAGTTGAGGGTGGAACCAGGGCCATAGGGTTTCTGTGGACTGTGAGAAGGAAAGGGTTGGTCTGGATGCAAAGGACCAGGAAGCAGTGGTGGTTTCCAGGTGTCTGGGTCGCCAAGACAAGGAATGGGACAGGACCCAGGCCAGGAAGAGAGATGGGCAGGGGATATGGGAGGGTGAATGAGGCTGGGGGAGTCAAGGCGTGGAGGGCGAGATGGACTTACCCAGGAGAGAGGCCAGAGAGTCAGGAGGGTTGTGCAGCCCAGGGAAGCAGAGGAAGGTGAGGGAGGCACCAGGCCCAGAGGGCTCCCAGGGAACTGGAGAAGAAACTGGGTCCATCTTGATACAATGGATCAGGTGGCCCCGGGCTGGGCCGAGAGGTCAGCCCAGGTATCCAGAAAAGAGGCTGGCGGGCCGTGCAGCCCAGGGAAGCAGAGGAAGGTGAGGGAGGCACCAGGCCCAGAGGGCTCCCAGGGAACTGGGGAAGAAACTGGGTCCATCTTGATGCAGTGGATCAGGTGGCCCCGGGCTGGGCCGAGAGGTCAGCCCAGGTATCTAGGAAAGAGGCTGGCGGGCCATGCAGCCCAGGGAGGCAGCTATTTTATACTTTAAGACTTTTATAATACTCATAAAATTAGATATTTTAAGACTGTATGATATATTTTTGTCAGGACTGAATCTTCATTTACTAATTGATTTTGAAAATTAGAGGTTGAGGGGCTGGAGAGATGGCTTAGCAGTTAAGAGCACTGACTGCTCTTACAGAGGACCTGTGTTTAATTTCCAGCACCCGAATGGCAGTTATGAACCATACTTAACTCCAGTTCTAGGGTAATCCAATGCCCTCTTCAGACCTCCACAGCATTGCATGACACAGTGCACTCACATACAAGCAGGCAATGCACTCATACACATAAATTAAAATAATAATTAGAGTTGAATCATGTTTTCTGCTAATAAATCATTTTTGAAAGTGTTTCTAAAGCTATTTCCATACTGTTTAAAAGGTCATTGAGTTTTAAGACTTCTCTACTGGGTAATGCTTTAAAAACAGTATCTGTACCGATTGTGCTGTATTTAAACTTAATCAGTAAATTTGAAGGGCATGCCTCTATTTACACTTTAATGGATTGAGCACAGCGCCGTTTAGTACACTGACCCTAGGCAAGTTTTGGCCGCAGCATGGTGTAAGTCAGCAGTGCCAGTGTTTGAGAGCAGTTCCTTTTTTGTGTTGTTTTTCAGGATGATTTTTGTACTTCTAAATAATTCTAATAGTTCATTAAAATTTTGCATTTTTACTATAAAATTTTTTGTTTCCATTTCTTACCTTTAGGTTATTTTGAATTGTTCTGCATTACCCTGCCTCTTACACTTGTTAGGTAGCCCAAAGGAGTCAATTAGAAAAGAAGCCTGTTGGACTATCTCTAACATCACTGCTGGAAACAGAGCTCAGATTCAGGTAAGCGCCATTCGGATCTGTGATGACAACAGAAGGTGAGACTAAGATGCCCAGTATATTTTATCAGTGATAGCTTTTAGTTACTAAAAATGATTCTCTTAAAACAAAATCCCTGAGAAGCATTTAAAGAATGTGGCCTTTTGTTTTCTAAATAATGACATTTGTTTTTAATATTCTAGTGAGGAGTAGCAATTATGTCAATTATGCCTGAAACATAATGGTTAATGTTTAGAAAGGGATGTTTTTCGCTGAGCATGGTTACCATACACCTATAATCTTAGCACTTGAAAGGCTGAGACTGGATTATATCAGGATTTTGAGGCCATAATGGGCTGAATTACAGAGACAACTTGTCTTGGGGGAGAAAAAGAGACGATTTTTCATAAGGTTTAAAATGAATGGCTGAGGCAGGATACTGATTGTGAGGCTAGAATGGGGTGAGTGGGGAGACCCCGTCCTGTCCCAGGTGGGTGGGAGGAGATGGTGTTAAGAATGATCTCCTTGAGGTAAAACATACCCATTTTGATTAGTCATATGCTTGAAGTTTAGCATCTTTAAAATTTTGTATTCTGACATTGTCTCTGTTCTTTAAAAAGCTCATTTCTTTTTACAAAAGAAAATAGTAAACATTTATTGACAGATTACAAACAAAATATTTTTCTTTCTTTTTCTTTTTCTTTTTTTTGGTCTTCAGGGTCTCCTTGTACCCCCAGCTGACCTGGAACTCACTATGTAGACCAGGCTGGCCTCCAACTCAGAGATCCGCCTGCCTCTACCTCCCGAATGCTGGGATTAAAGTGTACCACCATGCCTGGCCTACAAACAAAATATTTCTAAAACCTCACATATTTTAAGATTTACTTTTTATTTTTGTGTGTGTGTGTATGTGTGTGTGTGTTGCCTATGTGGCTTTATGTGCATTATGTGCATGCAGGGCCCCTGGAGGCCAGAGAGCATTAGATAGCCTGGAACTGTAGTTACAGGTGGTAGTAAGCTACCTGATGTCAGTTTTGGGTTGGGTCTTTTATAACTGCTCAGCCATTACACACATTTTAGAGCCACTGCATTCCAGTACTCCTCTACTTGGTAATATTTTTGAAACACTAATTATGCCATTTTCTTTTTTTTTCAGGCTGTTATAGATGCAAGTATTTTTCCTATTTTGATTGAGATTCTTCAGAAAGCAGAATTTCGCACTAGAAAAGAAGCAGCATGGGCAGTAACTAATGCCACCTCAGGAGGCACTTCAGAGCAAATAAGGTGTGATCAGATTTTTAAATTCTTTTACATGTGAATCAGACAATTTGAAATAAAACACCTTTTAATTTATTGTTGAAATTAACATTATTCATATGTTTGTTTCAGAAACATTCATATGAAATGATAGCTTTGACATATCTTTCATTTGGTGTTTAAAAATTATTTTTAATTCAAGTTATCTACTTGTTATTAATTATATAATTATATAATTAAGTTACATACTTAACATCTTCCTTGGCAGACTAGAGATTAAAATTCTGAATAGGAACAGTCTATGTTAATTTGCAGAATATACTGTCAGGATCATTTTATATATATATTTAAAACATTAAAATCACAAAATTAGTTTTCTTATTGAAATAAAAATAAATTTGAATATCAACTTATTTAAAGTAAAATTGGAATAGACGTTTATTTAATGATGCCCTCTCCTTATTGTTCTGTGTATGAGTATATTGCCTGCGTGCATGTAAGTGCACCCATGCCATGCAAATCCCATGGGAAGTCAGAAGAAGGCGTCTGATCCCTGGAGCTGATCCCTGGAGTAAAGGATGGTTGTTGGCCATCATGCGGTGCTGGGATTCAAACCTGGGTCTTCTGAGAGAATAGCCTGTGCTCTTAACTGCTGAGCCATACCCCCAGCCCTCTAGATTCTTTCAATCATGTATTTTCAATCATTTTAACTTCTATAGTAAAGTTCTGCTTTGTGCCTCAAATAAACCCAACTTCTCTACATAATATTAAGGATCCCTCTATAAATTAGTAAATGACTATTTAAGGAAATGTTTTGTAATGAACTTTTAACGTGTTTTTTCACATATAAAATAAGTCAAATTATAATACTATTTTAAAAATCAGGACTTTAAGTCTACCCACTACTAGATCATTGTCTTATTTGCTTCTTGTTTTTATGACACTAGGTCTTAACTATATTGCCTTATTACCTGCTGCCTTCAGTGGCATATCTTTTTATTTTTTTGGTTATAAAAACAGTATAATATTTGAAAAAATGTTTTTATTATTTTACTTAGATATTTTGAAACAGGATCTCATTACATAGCCCTGGCTGGCCTGGAACTTAGGGAGCCACCTGCCTCTGCCTTCTGAGTACTAGAATTAAAGGTGCATGTCCCATGCCTGGAGAAAAAATAATTTATATATATTTATTTTTGGAGACAGGGTCTCCTTGTAGCCCCAGTTGGCCTAGAACTTGCGATGTAGACCAGGCTGACCTTGAACTCACAGAGATTCACCTTCCTCTGCCTCCTGAGTCCTGGGATTAAAGATGTGTGCCACCATGCCTGGCTGGGGAGAAAACTTCTTAGTCTCATATTGGATTCAGTATGTGTACCATTAATACTTGTTGAGTGCCTACTTATAGGAGTGATTTCTATAAAAATGGACAAAATCTGGACTAATGGCTCTTAATTAATCTTGAAAATCACTGAACCATGTGCTCTTGTGACTTGAGCACCTGACCTTGATTCCTAATATACTACTCTACCCCAGGATAATGAATGATTATGGGTATGCTTGAGAATTTACATATCAAATCGCTGAAAGGCAGTACATGCATCTTCATTGAAAACAATGAAGACTGAGAAAGAATGCTTGACACTGTATGAGATATTCTAGAACAAGGGATAAAAAGGTAAGATTGATGAGATAAGGGTGGATCCAAATCTGTAGTTTCCCCGTTGAAACTGGAGAAATGATTTTGAATAGAAGTATGAGTGAGGCTGGCTCAACAGCACAGTTCCTGTACTCAGTTCTAAGAAACATCTGGGGGAATGATTGTCCTTCAAGTTTGGGCCCACTCTTAAAAGCTAAAGTTAAGGGTCAGATTGCTTCATTCAGGAATTAACATAGTAAAACCACACCCACTATTGTCAGTCATTGTTCTGGTAGCTAAGTAATTTTAGTTACCAAATACCAGCAATGTATCAGGGGTTTTGTTTTGGTTTGGTTTTGGCGTATCTCCTTTAAACTTGTACCTATGAGAGAATTATTCGTTCAACAAACATTTTTCTATAATTCTTTTTAATATTTTTATTTTATGTGTATAAGTATATTGCCTGCATGTATGTAAGTGCACCCCTGTCATGCAGTGCTGACAGAGGTCAGAAGAGGGTGTTAGGTCTGCTGTAACTGGAATTATGAATGGTTGTTAGCTGCTATGTGGGCGCTAGAAATCAAACTCTGGTCCTCAGCAAGAGGTGCTCTTAACCAGTGAGCCATCTCTGCAGCCCCTCAAATATTTTTGATCCTTTTACTATACAATTTGGAAAGTGAGTGTTCCAATAAAACACATATCTTAAAAAATATTGTGTATGTATTTGTACAGGTGCATGTGTGTCATAGCACATGTGTGGAGGCCAAAGGACAACTTTGGAATTGATTTTCTCATTGTGGGTTCCAAGATCAAACTCAGGCTAAGGGTTTATACACTGAGCCATCTACCTATTGTCCTCCTCTCCCACCTCCACCCCCTCCTTTTTTTGATCTTTTTGAAACAGGGTCTCCCTGTAGCCCCAGCTGGCCTGGAACTCACTATGTAGACCAAGCTGTCCTTGAACTCACAGAGATCTACCTGCCTCTGCCTCCCAAGTGCTGGGACTGCAGGCATGCGCCACCATGTCGGCCCCCCCTTTTTTAAACAAACAGAAAATTTTGTTAAATACATCTTGTTCTAATCTACTTTAAGATGGGGAAGCTCAGGTACAGAGTGGTTGCTGAAGGTCACACAGTAATAAAGAATGGAATTGGAACTTGAATCCATGTAGTCTGACGTGAAAAGCCTGTTTACCCTTTGTGATTCATATGAACTTTTTTCCAAGTGAGCAAATCAGTTACTTCCTTTGTATATATAAGAAGGAACAGAAAAGTATGTAATAACAACTAGAAAAGTGAGCAGCATTAGGAAATGGATGGGATATTTCTCTGAACATTATTTATTAACACATTGAATGGCCCTGTCTTTGCATTCCTGGAATGTAATCATATGTTTCAGAGTATTAGCTATGCTTGCTTTTGTAAGAAATTTCCTGAAATTTGATTTAGGTGTTTCCTTTCCCTCTCCATTTATAACTTTCCATCAAATAACTGCTATGTGTGTACACACACACACACACACACACACACACATATATGTATGTATATATATGTAGCCTCACTTGGACACTACTATTCCTAACACTCCCATGCAAAAGCATCCAAGTGCCAATTTGCCTTTGTGGACATTTTGACTACAATTTGTAGTACCATTATTGCTAATTATGTGAAATTAAGATAAAGGTAAAAAGGTTTTCAGATTGCAATATAAAGAATAGGTGGGTTTAAGCTGGGCATGGTGGTGCATGCCTCTAATCCTAGCACTCAAGCAGATCTCTGTGACTTGGAAGCCAGCTTGGTATACATAGTGAATTGCAGGCCATCCATAGTCTACATAGTGAGAGCCTGTCTCCGAAAAAAGAAAAAAAAAAAGGAATTTGTATAAATATAGTCCATAATTGCTTACATGTCATTTCATTCTGTTGTGTTATAATAATCAGTGTTCAGTTTTTTAAAATCCCTCCCCCCCAATTTCTCTTTATTTCTGTGAAGGTATTTGGTAACCTTAGGCTGCATTAAACCACTTTGTGACCTTTTGACTGTTATGGACTCCAAAATAGTTCAAGTGGCTTTGAATGGACTTGAAAATATTTTACGTCTTGGAGAACAAGAATCTAAACAGAATGGAGTGGGTATCAATCCGTACTGTGCTCTCATTGAAGAAGCATATGGTAAGTAGTCAGGTGAAACATTTGACATTATAGTTAATTTTTAGGTCTGCACTAGACAGCCTCTCCCAAGTGCCAAATGTTTTCATTACAAAAGGAGTAAAATATTTGAAAACTGCTTTAAACTTATTGCTTGTAGTTCATATTATAACAATTTATCTTCATTATTAACTTTTCTTTTTACTGCTACTTTCCTTATCTCCCTTTTGTTTTACATTGTCCTTATATACAAATACCTTACATTGATTTAAATACAGTGTATATTGTACATTTCTTCATGGTTGCTATTTGTAATAACTATTTAAGGTTATATTAAGTGCAGTTTTATCCACACATTTTAGTTGATCATTAGTTAGTTTCCAAATTATTCAGTACAATGGGTGTTGTCCAACATACTTTTAATCTCAGCACCTGGGAGGCAGAGGCAGCCAAGGTTGTATAGTGAGACCCTGTCTCAAAAAATAATCAAGTTATTTAGTGCCAAATAAGCATCTTTCTGCATATAAATTTATTTCCTCAGTTGAATCAGTATCTTTTTCTTTAGTTTTTAAATTTTTATTTATCTTTCTTGAATTTTTGCAATGTTCATACAATATAATTTGATGGTATCTAGATCCTCTCCCCTACCCACATCTCCCATTATTGCTCCCCACCCAATTCAATGTATTCTATTATAGATATAATTGGGCCCATGTAGTGTAATTTGTGTCTTCAAATGTCCCTCAGTGTGAATCCATTCACTGGAGCTTGGTTAAGCTACCAAGAGTGTCCAGTCCTTGAAAGAGACTGTTTCTGCCCCTTCCATCAGCCATTGGTTGCCACAATTTCCTTAGCTGGGGTTGGGGATTTTTACCCACTTCATCATGTCTGCTGGAATTTTGTCTGGTTTGAGCTTGCATGGGACTCTTGCATGCTTTTACCATTGCTGTGTGTTAATATGAATAACTGACCAGCTTTCTGGGAAACTGTTTCCTGTGGTCATCTACTAGCGCTGGCTTTTACGATCTTTCCACCCCTCTTCTGCAATGATCCCTGAGCCTTGGGGAGTAGAAGTTTAATTTAGGTGTTTTATTCAGAGACAAGCACTCTGCGGCCCCTTGTTCTCTGCATGTTGGCTGTTGTGGGTTTCTGTGTTAATCACCATCTGTTGCACAAGGAAGCATCTCTGGTGAGAGTTAAGAGATGCATTAATCTATGGATATAACAATAAGTCATTAAGAATCAGTTTAATATGGCAATTATTCAGTACAAAACTAGTATTAGGTTCTCCCTGATGTCTTGTGACCTGTTTAGCTTCAGGTTCCTAAGCATGATATATATCAATGCCAGTTTTGGGTCCCATCCTAGGAAGTGAACCTTAAATTCAGTTAAAGAGTGGTTGGTTACTCCCATATTTGTGCTACTATTTCACTGGTGAGCCAGGCTTGATACTATAGTTCACAGGATTCACAGCTGGGTAAGGGTGGTTACTTTTTTATTTCAGTAGCTTGCATAGCACCTTCCAGCACTGTGACCACTAGCCAGTACAGATTAGGTTCTGAAGTCAGCAGCAGCTTGATTTTTCCTTGTTTGTTCTACAGCACATATATATATAGTATTTTCAGCAATACAGTCTTACCATCCAGTGTCTGGTGAGTAAGCACAAGCAGAGGCAATAGCTAGTATTGTTTGAGGGTCTATAGGACTCTTAGATAACAGTGCCTACAAATGGAGTCTATTCCTGGCATTGAAGTTTTTGTTTTCTGTTTTATTAGCCCATGATGTCTAGAAAAGCAGTGTCCCCATTATAGGAAAACTTCTTTTATCTCTTTTTATGATGTATATGTGTTCATTCCTGGCATTGGGCTTTTACTTTGCTAGCCTATGGTGTCTAGTAGGGGCAATGTTCCCCTTATGCTGTTATATGGGAACTCCATTTAATCTCTTTTTATAATGTCAATGTATATACTTTAAGAAGCTTCTCTAGTGGTAGGTTTCCATATGGCTTTTTCTAAAGGCCTTTAGTGTTACTTATCCCTGCCCATACTCTGTCCTCAGTTGATGGACAGCTAGATTGTCTTCACTTCCTGGCTACTGTGAACAGGGCAGTGTTGAACATGGATGAGTAGGTATCTCTGTAGCTATATGCTCAAGAGTAGTATGGCTAGATCATGTGGTAGATCTATTTCTAGCTTTTTAAGGAATCTCCACACTAATTTTCTTAATGGCTTCACCAGTTTGTACTCTCAGCAGCAGTGAGTAACTGTTCTCCTTTCTCCACATCCTCTCCAGTATTTGTCATGAATCCTAACCATTCTGACTGGGGTAACATGGAACTTCAAAGTAGTTTTAATTTGCATTTCCCTAATGGTTAAAGATGTTGAACATTAGAAAAAAAAAATTTTCTCAGCTATTTGTGTTTCACTTTTTTTCGAGACAGAGTCTCCCTGTAACTCACTATGTAGACCAGGCTGACCTTGAACTCAGATACATATGCCTCTGCCTCTCAAATGCTGGAATAAAATGCGTGTGCCACCACACCCAGTCTGTGTTTCATCTTTTAACAATTCCTTATATAGTTCCTTGCCCCAATTTTAATTTTTTTTATGTTTATTTATTTATTTATCTTTAGTTCTTTGTATGTTCCAGATACTAAACCCTCTGTCAGAGTATAGTATAGCCAGTAAAGTTTGTTTCTACTTTGGATATTGACTGTTTATTAGAATGATGGTGTTCTTTGTTATGCAGAAGCTTTTTCATTTTATGAGATCCCATTTGTCAGTTGTTGGTTTTATGCCAGGGTTATCAAATCCTGTTCAAAAAGTCCTTTCCTGTGCCTATAAGTTCCAGTGTATCCCCTACTTTTTCCTGCATTAGATTAGGATATCCTGCTTTTTGTTGAGGTCCTTGATCCATTTGGAGTTGAGTTTTATGCATGGGGAGAAAGGGGGACATAATTTCATTCTTCAACATGTAGCTATCCAGCTTGACCAGAATCATTTGTTGAACATGCTGTCATTTCTCTGATGTGTATTTTAGGCCCCGCAGTCAAAAATCAGATGGTTCTAAATACCTGAACTTAAATCTGGGCCCTCAATTCTGTTCTATTGATTAATGTGTCTGTTTTTATGTGTCTGTTTTCTTACTATAGCTTTATGATACAATTTGAAATCGGTGATGGTGATGTCTCCAGCTCTTACTATTCTTCAGGATTATTTTGACTGTCCTGTTTTGTTTTGTTTTTTGGTGCTTCTGTATGGAATTTGAGATTGTTTTTTCAATTTCATTAGAGAGTTGTATTGGGATTTTAACAGGGATTGCTTTGAATCTGTAGATTGGTAGGATGGCCATTTTCATAATATTAACCTTACCAATCAATAAGCACAAAAGATCTTCTAATCTTCTGTTATCATTTTCAGTTTCTTTTAGTGTCTTAAAATTTTTATTACGCAAGTCTTTTTCTTCTTTGGTTAGATTTATTTCAAGATATATGGCTTCTGTGGCTACTGTGAATGGGATCATTTCTCTGGTGTCTTTTTCAGTGTATGTTGATGGATATGTGGAAGGCTACTGAATTTTGCATGTTAACTTTGTATCCTGATACTTTGCTAAATGTGTTTATCAGCTATATGAGTTTTCTGGTGGAGTCTTTAGGTTCTTTTATATATGGAATCATATCATCTGCAAATAGGGATACTTTGACTTCTTCCTTTCCAGTTGGTATCCCCTTCCTTGTCTTACTGCTTTGGCTAAAGCTTGAAGTACTATATTGAACAAGGATGGAGAAAGTGGACATCCTTGTCTCATTCCTGATTTTAGTGGAAATGCTATGAGTTTTTCTCCATGTAGTGTGAGACTGACGGTTGGTTGGCTAGCTATTGCTTTTATTATGTTGCGATACCTCCCCTGTATCCCTAGATTCTCCATGATTTTTATCATGTTGGATTTTGTCAAAGGCCTTCTCTCTGCATCTAATGAGATGATCATGTCATTTCTTTCTTTGAATCTGTTCATGGGTGGATTTATATTTATTGATTTATGTATGTTGAACCACTCCTGCATTACTAGGATGAAGCCAACTTGATCATGATAGATAATATTTTTTATGTGCTCTTGCATTCGGTTTGCAAATATTTTATTGAAAAATTTTGTTTCTGTGTTAATCAGAGAGATTAGCCTGTTATTTACTTCTTTAGTTGGGTCTTTGGTTTTGAGATCAGGGTAATACAGGGTAATACTGGCTTCATAAAAAGAATTTGGAAATATTCCTTTTTCTATTTTACATAATAATTTGAGGAGTATTGGTATTAGTTCTACTTTTGAAGGTCTGGTAGAATTCTGTGCTGTATCCATCTGGTCCTGGGCTCGTTTTAGTTAGGAGATTTGTTGAGACACAGTCTCCCTGTAGCCCCAGCTGGCTTGCAACTCCATATAAAAACTGGATTGGCCTCAATCTTACAGAAATCTGCCTGCCTCTGCTTCTTGAATGCTGGGAATTAAGGCATACACCACCACCATGCCCAATTAGTTGGGAGGGGTTTTTTTTGTTGTTGTTGTTGGCTTTTTTTTTTTTGTCTTTTTGAGACAGAGATTTTTAATTGCTTCTATTTCATTGATTGTTATATGTCTATTTAAATTGTTTATCTCATCTTGGTTTAATTTTGCTCAGTCATACAATTTCTAGAAATTCATCCTTTTCATCCTTTTCTCTTTTTTTGATTTTCCAACTTAGTGGACTGTAGATTTTTAAAGTATGTTTTCATGATTCTGTGAATTTCCTCAGTATCTGTTGTAATGTTTCCGTTTTCACCTCCAGTTTTATTACTTTCGGTCCTCTCTTTTGGTTAAACTGGCTAAATGTCAGTCTTGTTAATCTCAGAGAACCAACTGTTCATTTCATTGATTCTTTGTTTTTGTTTTTTTTTTCATTTTTATTAATTTCAGCCTTGATTTTGTTATCTCTTCCCATCTACTCTTTCTGAGTATTGTTTTGTACTTTTGATAAGGCCTTCAGGTACAACATTAAGTTATTAATAAGAGCTCTCTATAGTATTTTGATGTAGGTGCTTAGAGCTAAACTTTCCTCCTAGACGTGTCTTTGGTGTGCTGTGTTTTTCATTCAAATTCTAGGGATTTTTAATTTCCTTTTTAATTTCTCCCTTGATCCAGTTTTCATTCAGTAGTGCACTGTTTCATTTCCATGAGTTTATATACTGCTCCCTTTCTATTGTTTCTCTTGTGTACCTTTTTTTCTTTTGTGCTCAGATAGCATACAGGATGCTATTTCAATTTTCTTAAATTTGTTGAGACTTGCACTGTCATAATACATGATTTCAAAGAAAGTTCCATGGGGTGCTGAGAAGAAAGTGCATTCTTTGTTGTTTGGGTGGAATGTTTTATAAATGTCTATTAGGTCCATTTGATTAACTTGAGGGTTTCTCTATTTTTTATCTGGATGGTCTATCTATTGGTGAGAGTGGAGTGAGTATTAAAGTTACCCAATTTCACTGTGTTGGAGTCAATCTATGATTTTAGATCTAATAGTGTTTCTTTTATGAAATTTTGTACCTTGTGTTTGGTGAATATATGTTTAAGATTGTAATATCCTCTTGATGAATTTTTCCCTTAATGAGCATGAAATGTCCATTCCTATCTCTTCTGACTAGTTATAGTTTGAAGTCTAATTTTCAGTAATTAGAATAGCTATGCCTGCTTGATTCTTAGTTCCATTTGCTTGGAATACCTTTTTCTATCCTTTTATCCTAAGGTGGTACCAGTTGTTGATGGTGAGGTGTGTTTCTTGGTGGCAGCAAAAAGGTGGATCCTGTTTTCTAATCCAGTCAGTTAGTTTGTGTGTTTTTATTGGTGTATTGAGACCGTTATTATTGAAACTTATTATTGACCAATGTTTATTAATACCTTTGTATTGCTCTCTTTCACCTCTTTTTAAAGTTCTGGAATTGTTTATTTATTCCTTGTGCCCTCATGGGTATGTTTAATCTTCTTTTCAAAGGGAAGTATTCTTGCTAGTATCCTCTGTAGAATTGTCTTAGTGGATATAAATTCCTTAAATTTGTTTTTATTATGGAAAGTTTTCCTTTTTCCTTCTGTTCCAACTCATAGTTTTGCTAGGTATAATAGCCTGGGTTGTTATCTGTGGTCTTTAAGAGTTTGTAGAACATCAGTCTTTTTGGAGGCTCCATTGAAAAGTTAGGCATTCTGATAGGCCTGTCTTTATGTGATTTGGTCTTTCTGTCTTGCAGCTTTCAGTATCCTTTGTTCTGTACATTTAGTGTTTTGATTATTTTGTGATATGGAGAGTTTCTTTTCTGATCTTGTCTATTTTGTATTCTATTAGATTATGTATTTGGTATGTCTCTTGCACCTTGGTAGGCATCTCCTGTCTTAGATTTTGGACATTTTCTTCTATGATTTCATTGAAAATACTTTCTGTGCTTTGGGCCTGAGTTGTTTCTTCTATACCTATAATTTGTAGGTTTGGTCTTTTTATAGTATGCCAGAGTTCCTATACATTCTATTCTTGTGTTGTTTGGTTTTAACATTTTCTTTTGAGTGATCCAATTCTTTACTTTCTCTTTAAAACTGATGTTCTCTTTTCCACTTGATCCATTCTATCTACAAGGCTTTCCACTGAGTTTTTTTATTCGGTGATTTGGTTTCTCATTTTTCATTTATTTCAGTTTGGCTTTTCTTTAGAAATTCTTTCTTATTAAATTCTGTTCATATCTTGGGTTTATTTTATTCAGCTGTTACTGTTTTCATGGTCTTCATTCTGTTTTATGCATGCTATCTTTGAGTTTACTGAATACTTTATTTATTTATTTATTTATTTATTTATTTGGTTGTTTTGAGATATAGTCTCCCTGTAGCCCCAGCTGGCCTGGGACTCACTATGTAGACCAAGCTGGCCTCAAACTCACAGAGATCCACCTGCCTCTGCCTCCTGAGTGCTGGGATTAAGAGGGTGGTGGCCCATGGTTTAAGATTACTGAACATTTATAACTGCTATTTTGAAATATATATAGCAATATAGTCTTATGTATTATCTCAGGAGACATTACAGTGGGCGCACTGATTTCTGGAGGTGTATTGTCTTGGTTATTCATGTTGGTTATGTTTTTGTGATTGTATCTAGGCATCTGGAGTTAGGTCATTGGTGCTGTTTCTTGATATATCTGGCCTCGCCTTTACTGAGCAGGTGTCTGGATCTTTGTTTGCTATTATCTCAACCTGTCAGGTTGTAAACTGGCTGAATGGTGCTTGTTCAGTCTTAGGGTAACTCTGTCTTGGATGTGTGAATAGGGCATCAGCTGGGATATATGTATTTAAGAGCCTAGGAACAAACCTGTTGAGTTAAAAGATCTCACTGCCAATCAGAAGTCTGTGGAAGGGTCACATGGTTTTGCAGGTGGTCTTTTGTTGGCAGGGTTTAGAATCATAACGGGAGTGAGCAGTGTTCCCTGGAGGCCAGGAAGGATGTCATACCAATCTCTTGTGGATGGAGGTAGGTGGGGTGGAGGCCAGGTTTGAGGTCTCTAACTGGGTTTCCAGGTCTTAGGACACCTTTTCTCTGGGTGACATTGTGGGCAGGGTGATTGATGGGGGAGAGACAGACTCGGGGTGTTGCTGTCTGGCAGGGGGAAGGTTTCTAGGAGTACACACCTGGGGTTGAAGGTACCAGGGAGCCACCATTATGGTTCTGGCAGCCATCATTGTCTGCACTTGGATAGGGGTTCTAGGACTGAGTACCTACCTGTGGGTCGGGGCTCATGGGGAGCCACTCAACAGGTCCTGGTGGGAGCATGGAAGTGGTAATGGGTCTTGTGGTGTGATTAGGGAGTTCCTAGTGGGCAGCTGGCTGGGTCTAGGAAGTCCCAAGAGGAGGGAAGGGGGCCAGAAAGATTTGGTAAGTGGCAGTGGGGCTTTAAGGAGTCGGAGGAAGCTTGCCTGGGTTTCCAAACCACATAGGGCAACTGGAGAGTCCCTGGTGGGCAGCTGGTTGGGGTCTAGCAAATTCCAAGGGGGAGGGAATGTTTTCTTTAAAAATTTAACTTAACTCGGGGGCTGGAGAGATGGTTCAGTGTTTAGAGCACTGACTGCTCTTGCAGAGGATCCGGGTTTGGTTCCCAGCACCCACATGGCAACTACGAACCGTCCTTAATTCCAGTTCCAGGGGAATCTGAAGCCCTCTTCTGACCTCCACAGCATTGCACAACACGCACTCACATACATGCAGGCAATACACGTAAAATACTTATACACATAAAAATAATAAAATATTTTTTAAAATTTAAATTAACTCATAAAAAATTTGGAATGGACATAGCTCTAAATTGATTTTTTAAATTTATATAACTTTTCTTTAAGTCCCCCCATTTTGTACACTGATTCAGCTTTTAGGATACTGAAATGAAGACTGAAATATATTGCCTTTATTTCATATTATATAATATCACTGATTAGTTATTTCATACATGATATACATGATATTATAGATTTAAGAATATTTTCCTACTATAGTCATAATTTTAATCCCAAATTATACTCGAGTTTGGGATGTTCTGCACTTGGGTGTAAAGGTAACTGCTTATTCCTTATTCTACAATATTCGAAGTGGAGTATCTTTTTTAAATGTTTTAATTTATTATTAGTATATGTGTGTGTACATGCTGTGACACATGTGCCATAGCGAGCATGTAATGCACATATGGATGGCAGAGGACAAATGACTGGGGAGTCACTTCTCTTTCTACCCATACAATTCTGAGAATCAACTTGAGGTTGCCTGGCTTGCATTGTGGCAAGCACCTTTAATCAACTAAGCTGTGTTGCTGGCCTCAAGTGGTTTATCTTTGAATGAAAAATATTCTAGCATTGCTTAGATCTGTGTATAGAAGTTTTTTCTTGTAAGTAGTTAAATAAGGTTCTACATCCTTTCAAAATGAAGTTTTAAAAAGCTTCATTCGTATAGATTGTACTTTGTACAGCAATATATGGTATTTTGTTCAAATGTACTTTGCATTTGTTCCACACTGAAACCCTCTGGTTCATTGTGGTTTAGATGGTTCTTTTTGTTGCTCTCTCTTTCTGTTCTTTATTATTTAGCATAATGGCCCTGGAAAGGACTTATGCAGTTGATCTAAAGCTCAGCTTTTGCAACACAAGTACAGAGAAATTTAATTTCTTAATTTGGCCAAGATCACACAGCAGGCTGGTTGGTGTTTGATTCTCCTCCTAGACGTGTGGTTCTTCTTCACTTTTGCATATATTGTTTTTTAAAGACTGGGTTTCACATAGCCCAGGCTGGCCTGAACTTTTTTTTATGTAACTAAAGATGACCTTGGCTGGGCCCACGTGGTGGTGCACGCCTTTAGCCCAGCACTTGAGAGGCAGGGACAGACAGATCTCTGTGAGTTCAAGGCCAGCCTGGTCAACATAGTGAGTTCCAGGACAGCTGGGGCTACAGGGAGACCCTGTCTCAAAAAAGGCCAAAAAAAAAAAAAAAAAAAAATCTGATCTTGCCTCTTCCTTCCCAGTTCTAAGATTACAGGTATGGACTCTGCCTGGTTTTCTGTAGTGCCAGTGATTGAATTGAGGGCATTGTGCATACTGGGCAAGCACTCTTTCACCAACTGAGCTGCCTACCTCCCCAGCTCCTGTATGCTCATTCTTGAAAAATAAGGCATAAGTGTTAGCCATTGGTTTGTGTAGAAGTTAAATAAAAATAATGTCCCAATCCCAATAGAGTGCATAGATGCTATTGATTTGTTATTTTAATACACTATGTACTGAAGACCTAGTAATAATTTGTTTCTTATACATGTGCTTTTTGTAATAGGCTTGGATAAAATTGAGTTTCTGCAAAGCCATGAAAATCAGGAAATTTACCAAAAGGCTTTTGATCTGATTGAACACTATTTTGGTGTCGAAGAAGATGATTCTAGCATTGTACCTCAGGTGGATGAAAACCAACAACAATTTGTGTTTCAGCAGCAGGAAGCACCAATGGAGGGGTTTCAACTCTGAGTGGTAGAGAAAAGTTAATGACTAAAATGAGGAGCTTCTGATGCCACCTCCATGTGCCCAGTGTGGGCAGAAATGTTCTTTACATAGGAACAACAGAAAAGAAAGAAAGAATCTGATGCACTTTAATAAAAGCGCAAAACTGAAACGAGTTTTCATTTAGATGCACTCTTTCTTTGCAGCTTTCTGTTTGTTGTTTTCATTGTTTGGTGTAGCTGTATTTGTCTTCAGTTATTTGGGTTCTTGTATCTATTTGTGAATAAATACATTATGCAATTATTTCACTTAAGCTTGAAAAGGAGAACTTGATCAGTAATCCATAATGGTTCTGAATTTTTCAGGTATTCTTGGAAACTCCACAATAACAGTGTAACTGTCTATGGATAATTGCATTTTGGCAGTAAGTCTGACATGCCCAATCCCTATTAAATCTACCTCTGTCTTGAAGCAAAAATAAAAACAAAAAGCTTCAGAAGCATGAAATCATATAAAAGCTGAATTAGAATGTGAAAATATGTATTACTTTATATTATAAATCACTGTGCTTTACAAAAACGTGCAGCAGAAAACCTGTAGAATTTATTTATAAAACAGAAATATTGTATTGATAGTTGAAATGTGGCAATTAGGAAGAGAGCTGTTCATGTTGAACACATTGAAAAGACTATAAAGTATTTAAATATTTGTGTTTTTCACATAAAATACTATTATACTAGTATATTTTATATTTCAACTAAATGTGCTACCCATTTTGGAATAGTGTTTATTTTCATTCTTCATTTTAAAGAGAATCATAACAGAGAGGTGATCATGAATCTAAAATAGTGCTGCATATCCAAAACTGTAATTATTTCCTCTGATTTTTCAGAGGAATCATTGAAACATCATTTTATTCTCTGTATAGTAATGAATGACAAAAAGTATACTGATGAAATCACCTTATGTATTAAATTTTATTAAATGCGTTTATTTAATGTTTGGATTAAATAAGTGATATCAGTGAAAACTGCTAAGGATTCTTTAATGTGTAGAAGTCTATTAGGAATATTTTCTGTTATAATACACAGGGTTATACTGCTGCTTTTTATGAATCATTGTATTCGATGACATTGACAGCAGATTGGTCAATCTAATTCGTGTTTGGAGTTAACAGCAGCAATCTCTTCAAATTATAAAAGTTTAAAAGGTTTCAGTAGAAAATATAAATATTATGTATATGTGTGTTATTTTCTGCTTGGTAGAATTTTCTAAGCAGATGGGGTGTTGTTGAACTCGATCTTTTAATTTAGTTATATACAGGCTATGTATATTTCCAATTATATACTTAGAATACTTACATAATAATTTACAACTCTTTTAAGATGGGAACTAAAACAATTTTGATATGATTCATAGTCTATTCTGTAATGTTTCTGCTGGAAATCAGAGGCATGTTATAAGAGGAAGATGTATATAGGAGTACTTTTAAATAATATAACACTTTGTACACAATATATCATGAAACTAAGCTTTTGGCAAGACACTTAAAACATACAATCATAAAATCCAGGTTTCAGTGTCTGTAATGCTGACTGCACCTGCCAACCCTTTTATACTGTTAAGTAGAAGACTGTCTGTGCCCCTTTTGTTGTAATGGAGGTTACAGAGCTCAGTATACAACATTCTCCTTTTGCATTATATGCATTCAAAAAAACAGGGTAGTGATATTAAAGATTACCAAATCGATTGTGAATTTCTCAGACAAACACTGTTTTAATAGTGCTGATGGTTCTAAGTATAAGGCAACCAGGGTAGTTACTCTTTCTAGTCAGTTGGACTTGTTGATGCAGCATAAATCATAAACTAGCCAGCTGTGCCTGCTTTTGAGGACCCCATAGTCACTATAACAAATCTCTAAGCTCCATCTTCCAAAAAATAGTTCTTAGAAAAATTATGTATATATGTATGTGTGCACATGCAGGCACACATAGAATGACCTATAAAGGAGATTTTAGAATGTGCCAGTGAGACAAATGTATTTCTAAGTTCAGAATCTGATTATACTTTCAGTATTTAAATGCAAATTTAATTTTTTGTATCTGTGTCTTTACATAATCAGTTTGATTAGAGTTGAGTACAAAAGATATTGGCCCCACTTTAGGCTTGGTGGTTTTTATTGGACCAAGAATAAGAGATGCTTTGTAAGTGTGCCATTTGAAATGCCGAAAAATTTGTTTTCACCTTTAATGTCCCTTGTGAAATAACTTAGTAATTTGCTTTTCTGATGTTTATGACATTTACATATGATAGATACTATGCCATATAAAAATATGTTTTAGAGAATGCATACAGCATTAATACAAATACCAAGAAAATACTTGAAAGAGTTCATTTCATTTAATTAAATTTGGTGTTTTGTTTGAACTTGAATTTCCACTGGTTGAACTATGCAATCATGCTTACTTGTTTATAAATACTTGACTTACTGACCTGGATTTTTGTTATTTGTTTCTGCTATACATTTTAATTTGAAAGGTTAGTCTAACCTAGTTTTTAGTGTTCTTAATTTTTAGTGTTGTTCGTCACTTACTGATAGCACCAGAACAAAGGTTTTGTTTTTTGTGTTGTTTTAAAGTATAAAATGTGCTGGCACAGAAATAACTTCTAAACATTTGGTAATTGTAAAACCTGTTTGCAGTTAAAGAGGCTGCTTCACTCGGTGAAGAACTAAATGGAGCATTTATTACCTCTGCTTTTTATAGTCTTTCTTCTCTTATAAAGGAGCATTATGGAAAAAGTAAAGATAAAAATGTCCTAGTGGATTTCTGTTGGTGTTCTAAACTCAGCATCCTACTACTGGTTGCTTAATTGTGAAACTGTGAAATAAAACTTTTATTCATCTCAGTTCATAGCACTACTATTTTATGAAATCTAACATGTGAGGAGCCAGTGTAGTAGGGCTCTGAAAGGCTAGTGTCTCCCTCAGTCCTGATTGGAACGCGGAATGAGATGAGGATATTCTTATCTAAGTGAATCAACATTGGAGTATTATGCAATATATGAAATGTTACACTGTATCAAACATAATAAAATACTATTTTACAGTTGTATTTATGGTGTCTATATTATTTGTTCTAAGATTGTATATTCCTAGTAGAACAAAAGCAGATGCCATCATTGGTTAACATTCTATCCATTGTATAAAACAAATGAGAGAAAAACAGAGTAATAAAAAAGTACTCAGGGGTAGGGCTGGAGAGTTGGCTCAGCAGTTAAGAGCACTGGTTGCTCTTGCAGAGGGCCTGGATTCGATTCCCAGCACCCACAACTAACAACCATCCGTAACTCCAGTTCCAGGAGAATCTCAGCATCCTCGTCTGACCTCTACAGGTATTACATGGCACAAGTGCACTTACATACAGTCAGGCAGTACACATACACATTAAAAAACAAAAAACCTGGTTAGCCAGGCTTCATGGCTCATGGCTTTAACTCCAGTACTCAGGAGGTAGAGGCAGGTAGATCTCTGTGAGACAGTGGCCAGCCTGGTCTAGGCAGCGGGTTCCGGGCCAGCTGGGACTACAAGGAGACAGTTTCAAAAAACCAACCAACCAACAAACAACCAAATCAAAACAACAACAAAAAAAAACTTTTGTTAATTCAAACTAGATACAAAAAGAGGAAGAGGGAGATTCTCCTCCCCTCTGAAGAAAGATGGAACAAAATCAAGACAATAGATCTAAACTCAATTGCATCAATAATCACTAATTTTTAATGATTTAAAGACTATTAGAAAGGAGGATTTCTCAGGTAAGTAAAGGTCTGTGTAGTAGGTGTATTTTGAATTTGCATACTGTTCTTCAGAATGGCCTAATTTATATTGCCACAATAGAGTTCTCTACATCCCTACCAGCATTTGTTATTTTATTGTCTGTTTGATGAAAGCCATTCTAATGAAGGAGATAGTACTTCATTTTGGATTTTTTGTGCATCTCCCTGATGGCTAATGAAAATGAGCCCTTCTGGGTACATATCCAAAGTAAATGAAATCAGTATAGTAAAGAGATACCTATTACTAAAGAAATAGCTATTACAGCACTATTAATAATAGCTAAGATGGACTCAACCTGCTTTGTTCTTGAGATGTATCATGTAAAAAATAAAGAAAACCGAAATTTTTACAAGCTTGCTTTTAAACTTTGCGAAGCAGTTGCAGAACAGCCTTTACCTCTGAGGCAGTTCTGTTCCAGGCATTTCTGATACCCTATGAATTACAAGGGATTTATACTTGAACTGGTGACTCAGACTATTCCCAGCCATTTGAGAATTCTTCTAGGTAATTATTTTGATGACCTTGGGTAATAATAATATCTGGTTAACTGAAGACTCAAGGGGAGCCCCTGCCTTTGAAACAATCTGTAACCTTTATGCCTCCAATGCTGTGGACTCTGTTTGTCCTGACCTCCCAACTCAGATTTCCAGAGGTTCCTGTCGTGCTAGCTCTCTTTAAATTCCCTAGGAAGTAAAATGGGCCAGTCATTGGGCTTCTTTACTTAACAAATCACTGCCCACAGTATCTACTGACGGTTCATTATTTTTCCAATATTTTACGCTAAAGCATCATTGTGTCATCCTTCCATTTGAGCATGAAGCAGAAGCTGGTTTACCAATCCACCATATTCTATTAGTCTAGAATATAGGCTTCCAGGCAGGCATGGTGGCACACACCTTTAATCCGAGCACTCAGGAGGCAGAGGCAGGTGGATCTCTGTGAAGGCGAGGCCACCCTGGTCTACATAGCCAGTTCCAGGCCAGGCCTGCTGGGGCTACAGGGAAACCCTGTCTCAAAACAAAACAGAAAATAGGAATATAGGCTTCTTTCTCATTTGTCTTTTTTAGAAAGATCTTTTCAATTTTATTTTATATTTATAAGTGTTTTCCTATGTGATATGTATATATGTGTAAAATGTGCATGCTTGGTGCTCACGGAGGCCAGAAGAGGGTGTCAGATCTGAAACTGGAGTTGCAGATGGTTGTGAGCCACCATGCAGGTGCTGGGAATGGATTCTGGGTCCTCTGCAAGAGCAGCAAGAGCTCTGAGCCTCTGAGCCATCTCTCTAGGCCATCAGAGTTGTTATTTCTAATACTGTTTTCTTGCAACTTTTTTTTTCTTTTATCACATTCTTGGCGAATTTAAATACTGCTCTATGTTGTTTCTTTAATTTCTGACCTTAATTTTATACTTTATAGTTTTCTTGGATTTTTTTGTTGCCCCCCTCCCACTTGGGAATGTAAGACATTCTAAATTTTTTCTAAGATAAGCCCTTTGTGGGGCTAAACATCTACATTCATGATTAAAAAGTAGATGCTAAGTACAGAACGTGTGAGTAAGCTTTATCATTTTAAAAGCTGTCTTAGGGTTTGTTCATATTTGAAGATTGTTGACATGCCATTTTTCTATTGGTTTTATATTAAAATTAATTTTACAATCACTGTATTAGCACTTTATCATCATGGGTAAGTTTTTGGGAAAGTTCTTGGTTTATAAGACTTCAAACTTCTTTTGCCTAATTGCCCACTATGAAAAGAATAACAACAGGAACTATTCAGGTACCAAACACTGCTTGAAAGTTAGTGTTGGAGGCTGGAGAGATGGCTCAGTGGTTAAGAGCACTTGTTGCTCTTTCAGAGGACCTGAGTTCAGTTCCCAACACCTATATCAGGCTGCTCACAACCACCTGTACCTCCACCTTTAGGGGATCCAAAGCCCTCTTCTGCACACACATTGAACACACGCATAAATAAAAATGAATCTGTATGTGGTGGTTTGAATGAAAATGTCCCCCACAGGCTCCAAGTATTTAGATATTTTGTCTCCAGATGATGGCGCTGTTTTGGGAGGTTTTAGAAGGTGTGGCTATCCTGGAGGAAGCATGTCTGGTGGTGGGCTTAGGGAGTTCTTAAGCTTTGCCAGATCTCCAGTTGCTCTCTTGTTTCCTGTGCCTGCTGGAAGATGTAGAGCTTAGCTTCTGCTGCTCGTGCTCCAGCCACCTCCAGCTACCATGCCTCCTTGCCATGACAGACTGTAATTCCCCTGGAACTGTAAGCTCAAATAAACTCTTCCTTCTTTAAACTGCTTTGGTCAGTGTTTCTAGCACAGCAACAGAAAAGTAACTAATACACTGCAAAACAAAAGAAAATTCGTATTTTTTTTTTAAAAAGTAGGGTCTCACACTGTAGCCCATGATGAACTTGATCTTACGACAATCCTCTTACCTCAGCCTCCTGAGTGTTGCAGTTACAAGCATGAGCTCCATGATTAGTGAAAATGTTAGCTATAAAAAAGAATGGAGCTATACACTGTGAATGAGATTCATAAAGTAATGTTAAGAGTTCACACATTGAACTGCATGTTATATTTCATCTAGATGAAGCTCAAGAGCAGACGAATCTATCAGCAGTGACGTTTAGAGCAATGGTTACCTTTTGGGTGTAATGAATTTGAGAGACAACAGATGGGTTTCCGAGGATCTATCTTGGGTGATGAGCACACAAGTGTGTTCACTATTTAAAACTACCAAGTTATGTGTACCTCCATGCATTCTTAAAAAGTAGATGTTACTAAAGCTTTCCTAGATAAAAATACTTATGCTTTCTGTTACCAGAATAAAACCATGGCAAACATTTTTTTAATCTCTTATTGCTGATAATAGTAATGGCATTCAAATGTCAGTTTGTCACAGCTTTAGATAGTGCAGCTAGGGTATCTTCTTCATGCCCCTTTCTTTGCCACATTCCAACTTGTTAAGGATTTATGTCTTTCTGCAGCTTATAAAAACAAAAAACACTGGCTTTCTGGAAGAACCTACATTTTAGTTAGAAATATGGAAAAAGACTTTGTAAAATAAAAGGAGAAAAACGACTATCACAAATAGTCATCATGGGAAAAAAATTACCTAAGTTGCTTGGACAGTTGATAGTGGAAGTCTACTCCACCTCTCTTGGTTCAAATGGACATGTTTGTTGGATCAAACATAACAAGAGTATTTTCAAATACTTAAAAGTCACAAGCCAGGAAAGGGAAATTCTGGGGTACTAGACAGGAAAGCAACCCAAGGCTTGCACTGGCAAGGAATTCGAGAGGAACAGATGCCAGGATGGACTGGAAATGTTTCAGCCAGAGGGCTTTTGGGATACTACTGGCCCCAACTGCTGTAACCTGGGACCTTAATCCCTCACACAAGGGAGTGCTGGATTTGGGTGTTTGTGATAGTGCCAAGTTATATATGGAAGCTAAAAGAGTCAGGAAATTGTATGAAATAATTCCTTTCGCCAGCCAAGGAACTGGCAAAGAAAGGGACCACTTGCCTAGATGGAAACAAAACAACCCCCAAACTAAGGTTCATCTTGTAGATAAAGCAACATAGTTACCATTAAAGGATTCCTAGAAACTAGAGAACCATCAGTTTGTGGAGCAGTCATTTGTCTAGAATAGGCTAAAAACAAAATCATTAGATTTCTTCACCTTTGAATATTCACCCCAGCCCAGTATGCATTTTTTGAAATTTCCTATTTGTTGAGAAAAAAATTAAAGAACAAGATTATTTTCCAAGGTCAAAGGAAGAAACAGGGATTTATATAACATTACTAAGTTTGATGGCTCTGGTCCCTGCATGAAGTTAGGGAACTCAGACATACTTGAAAGCCCGAAGAGAAAAGAAAGAATCTTGTCTGTCATGCCTTTTTTTTTTTTTTCTTCTAATGGTATAGCTGCTGTGAGACTAAGTGGGAATAGGAAGGGGTTCAGAAGGAAAAGAATGGGGATTCCAGGGGGTAATGGGGTGGGTGTAATTACATGTCTCAGAAAACCAGATGGAGAGCGATTGAAGAGGGGCATCCAATGTTTACCTCTGCCAAGAGAAAGGGGGGGGGGGGGAGGGGAGGGGGAGGGGGGAGGAGGAGAAAAGAATCATGATTGGGACGGGAATTGTCTAAATATACTCAGAGTGAGGGTGTTGAGAGCCATCCATATGGTGTTTTTGCACTACTGAGCTGCCTCATTCACAATTGAGGAAGCCATAACCCAGTCCTAATGTGTCCAATTGCAGGT